GCAGGGGCTGTGGCCTGTGACTCCTAAAAAGGAGAAAGTCAAGAGTGAGAGAACAGTGATCAACCCCAGAGAGGAGGCAATAGGGACTGATCTAAAGGAACTATTGTGTTTCTCATGGCATGTTCTGTTTAGAAAGGGATGTGTACAAAGATAGAGAAGGAAGGGCACTGTACCAAGGACAAATTGAGAAGAGTGACACATTTCTGTGAGAACAGTGGCTGACTTGAGCTGAGGCTTATAAAAAAAATACTACTGTTGGCCAAAAGAAACAAAGAGGTGAAGGGTACAGGGGCATTTATAATACTTTTAGCTGTGATGTGAAAAGAGATGAGGCTCACTGTTTTGGAACAATGGCAGCACATTAAGAAGGGATAGTAAAGCAGGCATCTCATCTCCTGGGTTATAGCTAGCTGTCTGTAGAAGCAAAGTGGTCTGACTACAGTGACTGAATGAAGCCCTTGAAGACTGAATAAACAATGGGAGGGCAGTGGATGCAGCGGCGGAAGTGCTTGCCCAGCATGGAAAAGGCATTGGGTTTTGTCTTCAGGGCTTCAAAATAGGAAGACAGATAAAAAGAAATGGGAGATGGGTGGGCACGCTGTGTGTCCTCTGAAACTTTTTGGTCCAAATTTCCAGGGCTTCCTTGCAGGTCCACAGTCCAGGGCCTGACAAAAACTCATGGAAAAGATGAACAACAGAGCATAATCAACATTCATGACCCCCCGGGAAATGACCAGACTCTGAAGAGCCCTAGAAAAGTGCTGCTCACCAAAGTCCCGATTTGTACATGGGACATGGATTTGAGAAAGAGTAGCCAGATAAGAATGCTCGGCCAACTTTCTCTTAGACAGGTCTCCTGGGAGGCAGCCTGGGGAAGGTTACAGTATCCTTATTACAAGTCTTGAGGCTAGGAAAGAAACACATATTAGCTCTGCATCTATTTAAGGCTAGGACAATAGGGGCATGGGATCCTGTGACTGGGCTTCCTATATTCCTGCACCCAGTGGGCTTCCAGAAACTTCTGCCTTTGTCACACCCTGTTCCCTCTTCTGGTGCTGCCTTCCTCACCCCATCTGAATGTTTATTTCCAAACTCAACTCAAACAGGTTCTCCCATTGGAAGTTTTCTCTTAAGTCCTGTGTGATGTTGGAAGTGTCTTAACACCTTAGCAGAAGCGCTTTTGTGTTTTCTGTAGCTAATAATGGGGTATTGTTTTCTGGGCTGCACCTGAGTGCTCTCCCACTCGCCTTTCCAGCGTCTGCAAGCTCCTGAGGCGTTGGTATTGCAAAGCCCAGCACAGTGTCAGTCATACAGGTGCAGAGGTTCAAAGTCACTGAAGGAGGCTGTTTCGCTGTGTTCCACCTCTAAGCCTAGACCTTTCATCAGTGACTTGGAGGTATAATATACTTTCAGAGATTATAAATCTTGGAGAGAAGGATAATTAGATTAAAAGTCCAAGGTTCAAGATTCAACAGTCTACAGATGGATCATAAAACCTAAACACATAGGGTATTTTTATGTAGGTTGATTTTCCCTGTGGCACGCTGAAGGTAAAGATGTGTTTTGTTTCACTTTTGAGGGAAAAATTAGACAGAATATCAGAGGCAATGAATCACAGGCAAATATATAGGTACTGAGGGAAGTGCACATTAATGGACTGCATCCATTGCAATTCTGTATAGTACTTTGAACTATACATTGCTAATGACGAATACTTTGAATATATCGTGGAATATCATTGGTCACATTATGTAATATATCATATCAGTAAACCACTTATTATGCATGTTTCCAGACTTTATATCCACTGTGGAAAGACAAACAACAACCAACAATAAAGTTTTAAAAGAAATAATCATAGCCAGGCGTGGTGGTGCACGCCTTTAATCCCAGCACTTGGGAGGCAGAGGCAGGCGGATCTCTGTGAGTTCAAGGCCAGCCTGGTCTACAATAGTGAGTTCCAGGACAGCTGGGGCTACAGGGAGACCCTGTCTCAAAAAGACCAAAAAAAAAGAGAGAGAGAGAGAGAGAGAGAGAAATAATCTTTAAGTGTTATATTAGATCTCAAAAATTCAACCAAATATCTATCTATAGAATGGGGTGCACCTGACTCCATCCATCCATCCACCAACCCCCTACCTCTGCCATCCTGAGTACTTACTAGGTACCAAGTACTGTGCAAGGACCTACAGATTTAATGGGAAAGAAACACTGCTGCCCTTGAGCATTCTGGTATAAGGAAATGGATAATAAGTGAATGAAATAATTTGAAATGCTGATCAGGGTCATGAGTAACAATGTATGGTGGGCAGGAGATTCTGTATGGGGTAAACAAGTACACAGATGCATCTCTGAAGGTTGCAGAAAATTAATGTAAAGAAAAATAAGAGCCAGGT